CTTTGAAATATTTGAATGCATTTTGTGGTTGAGATTTCTTATGAATTAAATAGGTAATTATACATATATGGAGTGGGCATCTATGAATGTTATCAAAGACAATTGTCCATTTCAAGAAGCCATAAGATGTGAGAACCACAAAAATATTATTTTCTAGCACCTAACTTCTTATGTGTTTCCTTTTACACTTTTTTTTTTTAATTTATAAATATACTTCTTAAATTAACATGCAAAAGATTCAAATAGCATTCAAAAAATTTTTAAGTATGAAAGATGAAGGGTCGAGATTTGAGCATTCGACTGAAAAAAAAAAGTAAGATGACTTAACCATTGAACTATACTCATTCGTATGAATAAGCAGTTATTTAAAAAAAGAAATCATATAAACGAATTTAACTTTATTATATTCAAAGGATGAAAAATAACTACCATTGTCCAATTTCTAAGTAGAATTCACATCCCATCCAAGTGATGGTATGACAAAAGTCTCTAGTCTAAACATACCTTTCATAGGGCACTCACCTAATTGAATCAAAATATAGTAGAACCTAATTAAGCAATAGGACGTAGGTTACATCAAAAAGCTACATGGAGAAGTTTCTAATAATTGGTTTTGCGTTTATGAGTTGTATATTGATTGTCAACTGAAGCATACTCGATTAAGACATTTATGTCTGGTCAAAAGATTATGAGTAATAACTCTGGTTGTTCGCTGTTCAAGAATTCTTGTTTAGGCAGTTCATACCATCCATACATAATGTTTTGATCTAAGATTTCAATTCTTCCATGTTTCAGCAGTAGTATATTGTTACATGGGATGAACTTATAAAAGCACACGAAACATCTTCTTTTAATCACCTTATTCCCCCACACAATTTTACTCAACAAACAAATTGAAACAAAACCCAACCCATTTTCCACAACTAGAACCAACTAAAACCAAAAGGGAAGTCCAAAGAAACAATCTCCAAAGAGGGAACTTGAGTGAGAAACCCCTTTAATTTCTCCATGATCTCAACAACAAAACAAACAAATGGGAAAAAAAAAGGAAAGTAAAAATAGGAAGAGAGAGGGGTGGGGGAAAAATTGAAATTGGGTTTGAATTTGTTGGTTGGCAATTGGAGTTATTATTGGGACGGATGGGTTAAAAGCGACATGTCGTCAACGTTCCTTCTGCCTCCAAAGGGGAATGAAGGGCATTGCCCTGAGCCTGTGGGGGTGGTGCTTGGCCTTTAGTAGAGACTAATTGGGAGAAATTTGATAAACAAAAACCATAATGGCCGCATAATTAGTACTATTTTGCCCTTTCCTAGGGCTCTGCCACCCCTCACGTGGGGTAACATGCCCTTTCCTCTCTCTCCCCATCGCTTTCAAACTCTCATTTCTCTCTCTCTCTCTCTCTCTATAAAAGCTATCATCTCTCTCTCTCTCTCTCCGTCTAAAAGCTATCATCTTCTTGTTCTTGCCTTGCCTTTCACCGGTGAGTAAAGATATGGAAACTTTTGGCCATCTAATGACGTCTTTTTTCCTAGACAAGAACCGATTTATCTATCTTAATAAAGTTTATCGAGTTTTTTACTTTCGATTTTGATTTGTTTTGATTTTTGTACTTTCAAAATGTTTAATTTATGTACTTTTGAATTTTGTTCAGTTTCGTATTTGTACTTTCTAAACGTTCGTTTTGACCTTTGTATTTTTTATAAGGGACCCTTTTGACCTTTTCATTGTTATTCTTTATCTTTTTTTTTTTTACTACATTGCAATTTTAGCATATGTAGCTATAAGTTTGCATTAAAATATTTTCATGGGATATCGAGTTTTACAGTTAGAATAAAAAAAATGTTTACTTTTTAAAAGTGCATTGGATGTTGTGGAAGTACAAAAACTAAAACGAACAAAAAAACTTAAAAGTACAAAGACAAAAATGCACATTGAAATGATTAAAATGAACCGACGTAAAAAAAATATAAAGGCCAAAATAGGATTTCTTTGACCATAAAAAAAAAAACATTGTTGTTGTTATTTTACCTCCTACCGTTAACTCCACACTTGTTTTCAAACAACTGATGTGGTTGAAGCAATAATATGACTTGCACCAATTTTTATGAGTTGATGCATTTTTAATGTCAAATACTTAACCAAAAGCTAACTAAATATGCAATGTGGCCTTACAAATCTTTTTGGTTGTTAGATCAAGCTAGAGCAAGAGGTCAAAAATATAAAAACCAAATATATAATTTCAATTATTATTATTTCAAAATTATTAATTGCAGGTGTGTTCATAATGTATGATTGTGAAAGGGAAAGTGAAAAGATGTGTTGGGTTTGAATTATAGGTGAAATGACTTCCCTTCTGCCATCTGCCGCTTTGGTCTTCCAAGGCATTCATTTTCTCTTTTTGGACACAAACACTTCATTCATTAGCTTCCTTGGCCCTTTTCTCTTCAATCCATTGTTATTCTTTTCTTTTTCTTTTTTCTTTATATTTTTAAAATGAATATATATCATACTCTTTACTTCCTAATTTTAGACTTTAATGTTTAATATTTTTTAATTTAATCTATCACAATTTGTAAATGTTAGAATTAGTTTATGATAAACTTAAATGGCATCGTAGTCAATCAACTAGCAAAAATTTTGAGAAGGAAAAAAATAAATCCTCCTCCAAATTTATGAGAAATTGGAAAATTTTGTTAAATAAGTTTATAATCAGTCAATATTAAAATTCACTCAGACTAAATTAAAAAATGTTAAAATATAAAAGAATAAGTTGGAACTGTTAACAATAGAGACTAAATTAAAAGCCATTAAAAATATTACCGATAAGATTAATGTTTCCTAATTGATCTAAAGGGAATTTAGCTAGTTTTACATATATTTAATAATTATAAGGACATTAAATTTAAATTAGTTCATGAAATGTGATAATCAAAATTGAATTGCTCTTTAGTTGGGTATTTGAGTTAAGAATTTTTTTTTTAAAAAAAGACTGAATTACTCGATGGATGATAAGATTATCTTCCATTCAACAGAGAATTTAGGCAGTGGGCATAATTTGGAGGACGAAAGCCTAATAGTTGGCTTACTCTTGGCCCTACAGCCAGCAATTTGGGCCCCAGAGAATGACAGGACAAGCATAATGAATTGGAATTCACCACACAAACAACTTTGTGATGAAGCTACTCTTGTGATGGGATTTTTTTTTCTTCTTTGGAAAAGTGTATATAACCCTTAACAAGTTGAACTACGCTTACATTAATTGTGACGAAGAGCTTCGTGGTAGATAAATGGTACGTAAGGGAACTGCTTCAAATATAAAGAGAAGTAGATAGAGGATGGAGGACAAAGAGAGGTGGGAGAGAAATAGCTTTATTTATTTATTCTCTGTGTTCAACAATTGAGCGAGGAAGAATCCAACCATCAATGTCTTATCTACTCAATTATATTTGGATTGACTAGAAAAAAAGAGAATAGAATGTGAATAGATATAAGATCTATGATTTAAAAGTAAGGATAAATTTTAGGTCCTTCGAGTACTGCATTTTCAAGGGAAGATGGAATGAAGCTCCTAAAATGTAAAAACCAAGGAGCAAAAAACAAACTTGGAGAACAATGAAGTTAAGGAAACAAATAACTCAGCACGATGATTAATGTTCATGGCAAAATAGGCTTGAGATGCTCACACTAATGTTAAGACTCTTTCCAAAATACCTAAATGAGAAAATTCCAATCAAAAGCTATTCATATATCCAAATGATTTCTTTCTCAAAAAAAGAAAAAAGTAAAATATATACACATATCCAAAGGATTTTAATTCTCAATCGTACCGAGCCTATAATTCAAAACAGTGTGCCTATAAAGTAACATTCAAGGAGTGTTAACCCCATAGATTGGATTTGTGAATTTGATTATTTAAGGAGACGAGTTTTATAATATCTTACATTACACCAACTCAAGATTATAAAACCTAACAAATTTTTTGTTAGTACGACAAAGGTAGGGCAGATATTAGAAAAACTCATCTTACCAGTTTCAAGTCACGAACCCGCAAACCAAAAAGAGATCATACAAATCCAAGTTTCTAAACACAAGCTAATAATCTCATACTTTACATACCCAAATTTAAAAAATAGAAGAGCATACGTGGAACGAAGTCCCACATTTGTTGTACTAAAGAGTGATAAAAGAGAGGAAAAAGAAAAAAAGATGGTCGACAGGAGAAATTTGAAATAAATGGGAATCGATGAAGCTACTTCTCGGACTTCCTCGTATGAGGCAAATATCATGTAATGTGAGTTGTCAATTGTGACAATAAAGTTATACTAGAGAACCTAACCTCAAAGAAGACTTTTTTTTTCACAAGTCTAAGGTCTAATAATCAATTTAAGCATTGTTATATAGATAAGACACCTATTACCATTTCTAAGGTTGATGATACCTATTACCATCTCTAAGATCTCTAAGCTTGACGGTTCAACCCTCACCCTGCTTAAAAAGGGAAAGAAAAAAGTTTTTTAAGTCTAAAGTCTAATATCGTTTACAACATTAGCAAACAACTTTCCATTTCAATACATGTTATGCCTCTTTGGACCTAGATATGAGCATGTCCAATTCATTGTATTGATGAAATTCAAGCACAAAAGACTAGATCATTCAAACCTTGGCATGAAAAATGGTGTTTGAGCAACATCTTCACGCCGATCCTCCAGTTCGACCTGTCAACAAATTATCCTCAATCCACATCACTTAAAGAAACAAAGTTCCTGGTTCTTACTGTACCAAAAGGTTCATTTTGAGAAGCTAGATGTTGTCTCTTCGAGCACATGGGACCAATTTTGAGTAGAAGGCAGAGTTGGAGAAACATCTGCCTTAAAAAAAGTTGAAAATTTTCAAGATTACTAAAATCGAAGATTAGTCGAGGAAATATCTCAAACTCGAAACCACAAGCAACGACAGATGAGTTACGAAGCAGCATGAAATTGACAGTATCACAGAACATCAAGGGGAAATAATAGACCAATGCTTTTTAATCTCTAGATCATATAAGAAAGAAATAATAAAGAATGTTCTTCAGGGGGGTAAGATTTCTACTCTTCCTAGTACAAAGCACTCCCAACAGAAAGAAAAGACAACTTAATAAATCAATGTGCCCTGTGCCTCACATTCCCTTACAAACCTTAACCCTTTTTTTAAGTCCGATAGAACCCACCATCCTATATAATATCAGAACTTCCATCATAACCTTATAAAAAAAAAAAATAAAGCCTAGTAAATAACACACATAAAATTTTTGGAGAGATTTTTCAAACCATTAACTGCTAAAGCAACAAATATATATATATATATATATATGTATATATATATATATATATATCTTATAAGCAAGCCCCCCAGATCGCTAGTAATCCTTAACTGCTTGACATTTTCCATGTCATTACATTACCTTCTCTTCCAAATATTACATAAACACACCACATAAATTTTAGTAAGAACCTGCACGAAAGAGTGCGAGTGCCCCGATTGCAGTTGAAGGCATTGGCTGCAGGCAACACCTCGGAATGGGACTGCTGATTACTCCCAGACACTAGAAAACGATCTCCAAAAGCCTCTTCTATGAAGGAACAGTTCCACTTACCCCCTAGTTTTGGCTCTCTTCATTCCAAGGCTATTGTGGAAGGGTGACACGGAACTGGACATAGGTGAACCCTCTTCACGAAGTGTGCCATTAAGCATGGCTAGCTCTCGTAGCTGTTGTTTCTTGTAGAAGTCATGCGATTCATCCTAAATATATGATTTAATAGGAGGAAACAAGAAAAATAAATGATATCAGTAAGAAGGAATAAGTCACCAAGCTGGCGATCTAGATGACAAATCTCTGATGCTACTCACTATTGGTTTGAGCAAGTCTTGGAGAATCTCCTTGGCTTGCAGTAGGCGAGCATCAATAATTTCAACTGGCAATTCGGCCTCAACTAGGATATGAAGGGGCTCGTTCAAATGCTCATAACCTGGTTTTCCTCTCATCATTTCTTCCTACAAGACGTGAACAGTAGAATGAACTGGGTGCCCTCATATACTGAAATTTTGATTTTGATCTTTAGTAGAAAAATTGACTACCAGGCATAACAAGGGTGGAAAAAATTTGTGTATGCTAGTTTAGAATTAAAGAAACATTATTGAATACAATAATATATATACTATTTATGCCTTAAGGAGACTAAACAAAGATATTCATATGCACCTCATCTCCCTTAAAAATAATAACCGACGTGACTATGCTACATACGAAATCCTTTTAAATTTCTCTCGTTAGTTAGTGCAAGAAATGTAGAGAGAAAGAGAGGAATGAAAAGAAGCAACAAAATATTTTCCCCACTCAACATGCTAAAGGTCTGGAACAAGCACAATATAGCTAGAGGAAGGGCAGTTGAAGAGTATGTGCTCCAACTTTCCTCTCTACATAAACATCGCTATAACTTTTGGGAGAGAAACAGGCCACAAGATTACTTGGTTGACTTCTGTCAAATGTCCTAACATAAGTGAGGGTATGGAACAAAATATGAAATACAAAAGCGGACTACTTTCATGGGGCAGTTGAGATTCCACGCATGACAATGGACTCAGATCAAGCAGCAGGCACTAGATACAGTCTTCTACCAAGGGTGATTCTCATACACCCATACAGCAACAAGGACAATCTTCCTAGTTGCCAAATTCCTGGCCCCCAAAATTTTGATGAAGCAAAGAGTACTGTTATCCAATTTTATTCAGTGGCTTCTTTCTTCTCTGCTTCCTTCCCAAGGAAATTCGTAATGTTTTTCAACATAGAGAATTCTATACTACCAGTAAAATTAGACATTAGAAACAACAGCCAGCAACAACCAGTAGCTGACTAGATGACATGGGGTGTGTAAAGTCAGGATCCTTTGCCTTCCTACTACTTTAGGGCTTCCTTGTCATAAACCCAATTGTTTGTCCTCAGGATGCCCTACTGTGGAGAAGGTCCAAAAATGTCTCTCCTTTTAAAAAGGGTGTTGGTAATATGGCCTTGGCAAAATGGCTGTGACGGTTCCCTTTGGAATAAATGCTCTCTGGATGGGGTTATAGAGACAGAGAATAAGTATGATTCTCATCCAATCATCCTCCTTTTCTATGTTTTCTAAATTTGGAATTGGAAAGGCTCGACTAACTACTTTTTGGGAGGGAGAGAGTATTGGGTGGGAGATAATCCCCTTTGCATATTGAAATTCTCTGTTTCTTATCAAAAAAAAAAAAAAAAATCCCCTTTGCATTCCTTTCCCCCGTTCTATGAAGTTAGTGTGTGGCTTTTTCCTCCCTTGTGTGGATGGATTCCACCTTGTATGTACTGCCTTGTATGTACTGTTACAATTCTTGTCACCTGCTGTCCAATGGGAGAACTTATTGTGTTTTTTCATTACTTTCTCTATTTTTGTTGTCACCCTAGTATTGGGGAATTCCATTTATAGATTCTTAATTCTTGGGGTTGGGGTTGTAGGTTCTTTTTGGCTCTTTCGTGTGATCCCGCCCTTCCAGACATAATATAATCCTGGCTATGGAAGGTTATACTTATAATGTCCAAAAAGCTCAATTTTTTTTTTTTTGGCAAGGGCTAGATAGGAGGATTAATACTGCTGATCTTATCTACAAAACCAATAATCCTGATCATATCTTTTGGCATTCTTCTATGTTGTTAAGGCCATAGTAATGCATTTTTTATAAGAGCACTCGTGAAAATCTAGATCACACTCCATGAGGTTTCAAGTTTGCATGTACAATTTAGGATACCTTTCGAAGACACTCAACATGTATTTACCTCGTAAAAAGAGTGTTGCTTAATGATGGAGGAGACCCTATTTCACCTATCATTTCAGGACAAAGGGTTGCCCTTTGGTGTGCAAGCCTTTTACCCATTGTATATAATATTTGGCTTAAAAGGAATAAGAGAATTTTTGGAGATGTTGAGTGTCTTTGGGGGAAGTGGCAGTCTACGACTAGGTATTGTGTCACTAGTTTCTTTCACAGATTCCTTGCAGCTCGAAAAAAGGAAAGCAATGATTTCTGAATTGAGAGACGATCAGGGCACTTCATTAATCAATCCAAGTGAAATTGAAGCTGAAATCGTATCCACTCTTTGAGAATCTGTACTCTAGAAGGTCTGGCCCTCGTTTCTCTCCAAGGGGAGTTTAAATGGAGACCTATTTCCTATTCTGTCAGATCATGGCTGGAGAGAAGCTTCGAGGAAGTAGAAATCGGGTCTGCATTAAATGGCCTAAGGAAGAATAAAGCCCCGGACCCGACGGTTTCGCAACAGAATTTCAAATCACTTTTTGGAAGTACTTAAAGCCGGATTTAATTCATATGTTTCAAGAGTTTCACCAAAATGGGCACCTCAATGCTGATGTTCTTCAAAGGAAGCTCTCTGCCTCCTGTTTATAGCCTAGCCTTCAATTTGTGCACTTTGTCAAGCTAATGGGGAAAACTTGCTCCATATATTTTTCCAATGTCCTTTTGCCCTCCACTGTTCGATTTTGTTATTCAAGGAATTCAACTTACCATGGGTCTTTAGCAATATATATATTTTTTTTTGATAGGACACATAGAAATGCATTAGAAAAGGACCCAAAAAGATGGTCAAAACAACCTAGAGGCGAAGGGTTGAGGAAACCCTCCCCAAAAGACTATACAATCACCACTTTCCAATCTTGCATAATCAAAGAAAGACTATGATTACAAAAAACCTTCTTGTGTATAGAAGCCCACCAAGAAGCCGTATTCTTAATATTCACAAACAAAGAATCTATCAAAGTCCTTTTGTCTTCAAAAATTCTACTATTCCTTTCCCGCCAAAGGAGCCAAAGGACGGCCCTAGCTGCACAATTCCATAGAATAAAAACCTTTCCCTTGAGGGCATTCCCCCCAAAACCTTCTGTGATAAAATCGTCGATATTCCTCGAAAAGTAAAAGGAGAAGTCTAGCATAGAGGCTACATAATCCATGCTTTGGAAGCAAAGTGACAATGCATGAATAGGTGATCCACATTTTCAGAATTCTGCCAGCACAAGCCACAACCAGTTGGAGAAAGAGACCAATAGGGAAGCTTCTTTTGAATTTTATCGGCCGTGTTTGTACCTCTATAGAAAAGAGTCCATAGGAAGAATTTGACCTTCTTGGGTACTTTGAAGTTCCAAATAATGGCAGCAGTAGCCGAATTCAGCTTGGGAGATGGGACCGTAATGGCCATAACAGCTGATTTAACAGAAAACACCCCTTTGCTGTCTGCTTTCCACCAAATTTTATCATTGCCTTGGCCAATAATCACTCCATCCAGCTTCTGTGTGAGGACGGCCCAGCTATCCACCTCTCATTCAAAAAGGTTTCTCCTCATTCCTAAATCCCAAGTACCTGCTTCTGAAAGCCAGCAATCCCTTATCTTCTTTCCTTTTTTGTTTGAGATCCCGTAGAGTTCAGGGAAGGAAGTTGAAAGGGGAAATGAGTCAATCCAAGTGTCTTCCCAAAATCTAACACTCTCCCCCAAAGAGACTTTGTAAAAAATGTGTTTGGAGAAAGTTGATCTTGTGCCTTGGATGTCTACACATGGTCTGCCAATCGAGAACCCTCCTGAAAAGGTTGAGAACCAGCCATTTGCTTCCACCCCATATATGGAGGCGATTCCTCTCCTCCATAAGCAGTTTCTCTCGACTGCAAACTGCCACAGCCACTTCATAAGAAGGCCTTTGTTTCTAAGGGAAAGAGAGCCGACTCCTAAACCTCCTCGTTGGTGAGGTAGGGCTGCAGAAGACCATTTGACTAAGTTTCCCACCGGCCTATATTTACCTCCATTCCGAATGAAATCCCGCATAATCTTTTCCATCGAAGAAATAACAGATTTTGGGGCTTTTAGGATGGAAAAGTAATAGATGGGAATACTATTAAGAACGGATTGAGCCAAAGTAAGGCATCCCCCTTTCGAAATCGTGAGAGACCTCCAATTTTGAAGACTTTTGTGCATCTTTTCCACCACCGTTTGTTGTGGTTAAATGCAATCAAAGCTTTGATCTATGAGTTTTGGTATGAAAGGAACCTCAGAATCTTCAAGGATCGTTGCAAACCCCCGCTTGATCGGTTCAGCTTGGCTAAGTTTAAGGCTTCACAATGGTGTTCCATGTCTTCTTTGTTTGAAAATTATTCTCCTTCACTTATCTGTTTTAATTGGGGAGCTTTTAGTTTATCTCTTAACCTTTGAGTTTACTTTGTTATCTGTTATCTTTTATATTTTTTTTCTTCTTTTGCTTATTTCACTCTTTCGAGGGGTTGTATCTTTTAACATTTTCATTCCTTTTCATTAATTCAATGATTCAATGAGAAGTCTGTTTCTTGTTCAAAAAAGAATTCTGTAATCGCCCTTTGTCTCTCATCCTTAACAACTAGAGCCCCTTTATGTAATCTCCCGTCCCAATTTTTTGTACAGGCTCCTCCTATAGTGGACTCTTCTCCCTCTGTATTGTTCATTTGTCATTTTCTTAAAAAGCTCTCCTTCTCCACTTCAAGCCTATTTAGATAAAGATTAAAAAAGACTTTTAAGTCCTTATGCTCAACCTTCATTTCAAATATGGTTTGTACACTTGTAAAAAATTACATGATTAAAGCTTACATGACATGTGAATCTCTCCCCATTGATACCTTATGTGTCTCTCCCCATTGGTGCCAAATTTGCAAGGGTAGCTCCGAAACACAGCAACATGTAATTGATTTTGCTGCACTTTTCTGCGGTATGATTTTGACAAAGTTCGGGTGGTTTGTGGTTCTTCCAACAATCCCACACGTCTCCTAGAAATTGTTCTAGTGCATCCTTTCAAAAAGGAAAAGAAGCCCCTTTGGTTGAACTTCATTAGAGCCTTCTTATCAAGAAAGGAATCAAAGAATAGGAGCTACCTTTTGATCGGTTTCTGATATTATAATTTATTTGGTCGTTTCTTGGAGTAAATGTTCCTTGATGTTTCATTACTATAGCTTTTCTTCTCTTTTATTCAACTGAAGGAGGTTTTTTTTAGACTCCCTTGAAGAGAGGGTTTCCCCTATAATTTCAAACCATCAGTCCTGATCCCGTGAAGGTGAGCTAACACCAAAACCCTGTCCTCAATTCGGAAAATTGTTTCTTAAAAAAAAAAAAAAAAGCTTACATAACATTTCCACCCTTAGAGGAATAATAAAAATCCAACCGGACAAGTTTTTTGGAAACTGTGGCTTGATTGATGAACTCCATGATATGACATTTTGTTTTAATGATGTATCAATCGAACAAACCATGGGTTGAAAAGCAAAAATGGGGCTAAGGAGTCATCAATTGGACTAAAAAATGGGAATAGAACTTGCAAAAAGGGGATTAGATAGGCTTGCAAAAAGGGGATTAGATGGGCTTGCAAATAAATGGATTAGAGGCTCGCTAATAATTAGTACAACTAAGAAATTGTCTTCATGATATAAGTTATAACCAACATAATTCTTCTGCCTAACTCCTAAGTAACAGGTCCCTCTCCTCCTTTAATCCATCTGCAAATTAGATTAAGCCTACTGAAAAAGAACCTAACTACCACTATTTCAAAATCAAATTCCATGACCCTCTCTCTACTTGTCAACCAAAATAATCCCTTACAACTTATCCATATTCAAATTCTTCAATCAATATGGTCTGGGCTAGTGGACTTCCATGTCATGAAAATTAAAAGCCATCATGATTATGAAGTTCATTGTCACATGTACAAACGTGTCATGTGAGATTTCTGCACCACTCACTAATGGTAGGGATGTGAAATAAGTTTTGATCAAGGGTAAGAGACAAGAATGGAAATATAAAGCACATTGTAAGAACCCCCTAATGGTTACTTACAATGTAGTCCTTGAATTGTTAATTTGATCGACTACACTTTGTTGCATCATCCCCCAATGTAATATTTTAAATTTGCCTTAAACCTAAAGGAAAATTAGGATACTCACCCCTAAGTTATTAATACAGGCATACAGCTACAATTTAGTACCAAATTTTTAATTCTTAATTCGGTTCGTTACAATTGTCGCATCATCCCCCTAACTTTTCCTTGAACCTAAAAAGATATCATAAAATCTTGAAGAACATTTTAAATTCTAACGACTCTTTTGTTTGTAGTGTACAACATTTGGGTGGTGTTCAAACTACAAAGAACTCTTTTGTAACTATAGCCTATCAATGATTAATAGCAATGAGAAGAGAAGGCCTTTCTTTGATAGTTCTTCTTTGGGAGGGTGTTCTCTCTACCCCTGCCCTTAGAGGCCTTCCATTGATAGTTCTTCTTCAGTAGGGGGTTCTCTCTGACCTGCCCTCAGACCATCCTCTTTTGTGTATAAACCATGTGAAGAGAGGGGGCAAGGCTCCCATGGAGAGCCAAACATCTTCAAGCATGCCACAACAACAAATTAATTTATTTCCAATCTGTTTCCTATAATTCACCGCAGAACTATTAATTTAGTCCCAAATATTTCGAATTTATCTTGAATAAAGGGTGAGGTTACAGAAATTGAGAGGAAGGTAGAAATTCATCATAAAATTTATGTTAAAACTATGATTCAAACCCATTAGTTCAGTACTTTTGTTAATTAAAAATTAAAACTAAGTAACGAGAGAAACATTTGTGATTTAATTATGTAAATTTAAAATTAATGAAATCTTAATGTGAAAAATGAGTAATATTAATGAATTAAGTTTTTACATAGAGAATGAAACTTGTATTATAAACAAAAGCAATAAAAAAAAGGGAGATGAAATATCTCCACCAGGCCAAGCGAAATACAGAAAGAAACTCCCAAGATCTGCAACAACTAATAATTACATATAATCTTTCAAATAGATTTTAAAGAAATAATCAAAAAAGAGATTTGATGAGGGAACTAAAACAAGTATGATTATTTTTCTATTAATAAACAGATTTAATTAAATGTTAAATAGTTTATCATGCTTTATCAAAAATTAACCAATGAAACAAATTTGAGGACGTCGGAGAGGCTAAAGGAGCTCTGAGATTTTGAAACAAGAAAAAGAAAACAAAAAATGACAATAGGGGCACGAGATAAAGAAAATTGACGGGAGGAATAAAAGGGGAAGAATTTATACAAGAGACATATCTGGAAGAGTTGACTTGGTTTTGAGAAAATTTAAGAAAATAAATATATGAGAGGATGGTCTAATCTGTCCTCCCTAAGTGTACAATTATTCTAAAAAAAATCACAGAAAAGTTATCAAATTTAGAGATATGAGATGTGTTGCAACAATTCTCTTTTTTCATTCCCCTGGTTATGACAATTTGTGCAATAGAAAAATATTAAATCTAAACAGATTTAATGAAATAAGTTATTCAATTTAGTAGAAAAAGTGACATTGCAACTCTTCTTGAGGTGGGTGCAATTGATCAAGTTTGAAGTTCAAAGACTGAAGTGTGAAGTGTGACCATCCTAAAAGTTTAGGGTTAGATTTTGTAATTTTCCCTAAATTATTATTATTATTATATTATATAATCTAGATTAACTGCCCAAATGTAATTTCATGTATCATGACATGGATACATGCAAAATATTTTATAACAGAATCATGACATGCAACATACAGGAAAGTGAAAATTTTGTAATAAATTACCCTAGCTGGATCCTTAATGCTGCCACGCCCTCTGATCAAAACTCGGCAATCGGTGCTTGCCTCCACTCGCTTGAGAGAGTTTCCTCTAGGTCCTAGGAGGCGGCCGACAAAGTTATACTATAAACAGAAGTTCATTTCAGTTCCATTAGCAAAATAAGGTGAGCAAGGGAAAAGAAGGAAAAAGAAAATAAATATATTATAAGAAACAGACAAACAGATAAACATGCGTTCAATGCTTACATTAGGGTAGTTGTCAACAGGAACATCTACTCTGATGGTTCTCTTCACAATAAGACCTGATGAACTACCTTGGGAACTTAGCCAGTTTTGTGCTGATGAGGGTTGTAATAAACCTGACATCTGCATATCATAACATAATATAGAGTTCAAACCAGCAAATTACATGAATACAATCATCCCACTTAAGACATGGGAAATTTTCAGAAACAGTTCATATCAAAGCATAGATTTGAGGACAGCGATCCAGGGGAAAGAATGCTGAACACAACACCTACATACCTTGTGAAAGAACAGCAAAGTCATGCATAGAAAGTGAGATATATATTGGTCCTCAAAGCACTAAAGAAGTATATGGAATCCCAGAACCATCACAAATGTGCTAGTGCATACATGAATTCCTCTTGGGGCCACTTCTTTATCTATTTTAAAATTCCAAATGTGCCCAACCAAATAAAGGTTTCTTGAAAAGTTCCTTCACCAAGATAGATAAGGGATAAATCAATCTTAACTAATGAGTCAGCACTCTATATTATAATATTAGACCCTTGCCACTATAAAAGGTCCATCTGAATCAACCAAACTAAGTACTAAAACATAGGGTTTCTGTCACACATAAAAACAATTTCGAAAGTAAGCCCTCAGAATTTAATGGACGTTGAGACCTTGATTATCAAGATGGCTGAAGCTGAAGGTGAAGTTTGTTAGAACTAGATAACTAAAAATTAAATACATAAGTGAAAAACTAAGTCTCATTTCTTGAGAGAAGCTGTCCCCAAGTGAGATTAGATTATGTGCACTCAAGTAAATGTTATGAGTTAGCAGAAAAAAAAAATGTAAAAGTTTGTGTCAGAAATGCTTCTGTAAGTACAGTAAATTAGATGGACAGTAAGGTTATGTTAATGGTTAGTATCCGTACTTCTGATTGAAACCGTGATGGCCATCCATTCATGTCAGCGCCTCCGTTTGAAAATATTCCTCCAGAAGCCAGGGGGCTAGCATGTTCAAGCCCACTTTGACCTAAAACTGATGCCTTCCCCAATAGTGTGGTTACACGCAATATTTCTGCTCCAAAAATGTCAATTTTCAAGAACAAGATGTACCAGTCAGCGCATTTGTTAAAAAGTTAGCAGTTACCACATAATGGACACACAACAAGGTGTTTTTTTTTTCTTTTAACTTTTTAAGTCAGTGAAAAAATATCCTTCATAAATAAAATTAAAGTTAAAAATAATAATAATCAAATTGCTTCAACCCGAAGCCTACGTAGCAATATTAATATGTAATATTGCTACATAAATGCCTAAACAGCAAAATCATGAAATGTATAGGCCGCAGAAACTCAAGATCAATGAATAAAACAGAAATGAAAGGAAAAAGGTAGCAGAGGTAGGAAAAAATCACCATAATCTCCAAATAATTGCTAAGACAATTTGGTATTTTAGAATTTCCATCAAGTCATGGACTAAATCAAATTTAACCATGAAAGACAAGTATACAAGGACAGATAGAAAGGTAGGAAGGAAGCAAGAATTTTTAGAAACAGATCAGTTCTCAATGACCCCAAGAAAACGGACTCGCAACTGCATGAAAAATATATTAGACTTGCAACCAAAACTCTGGATAACTTCACTAAAGCACTTACATGTGGGCTTGTATCTAAACTCGTAAGCTTCTAGATCAATCCAAAAAATGTAGGACATAGACAAACAATGTAACATGAAATGAAAAAAAAAAAAAAAACTGTTTAGACTATTAGGGATGGCTGGTCAATATTCGAGATAGTGAGAACTTGATTCAGAGACATTTAATCACACTCCTGCAAACTTAAATATCCAAGGTATTAGCAGAAAATCTAAACAATTAGCAAGCATAATCAATGAAGTTAGATGTATGGTTGCTCGTCATATTAAATCATCGAATTTAGTGTCTCTTAGATCAGTTGTGTCACGCCTATATATCAAACGACCGTGCTCGGCAATAGCACCTCATCCCCAAGATTTCCAGCACATCAACCAAATGAGAAACAACGATGCAAGCAAACTATTTCATGAACGTTGAGGCTACAAAGTTCACCTTGGCTCAGCAAGCGGTAACTATTAGGGAGCACAGGCATAAACGGACTAAGTTTCTGTCGCTCTGCCAATAACTCAGAGAGATACCTGTGAAAAAAAGGCAAAAGGAAAAAAGAAATGTAATCAGCTAAATGGTAATACGATACAATTAGTGAATTAGGCCACAGAAAAAAAGATCTCCCGAAATTACATATGCTAAGCAAACATTTGCAAGAATCCAAATACTAACCACATAGTTTTAATTTCACAACCTAAACAGCACTCAAATTCGATAAAGAAAAACTGAGTAGCAACTTTGAACAACGAACGAAGCAATAACAGAATCCAAAGGGCGAAAGAAGCTTAGATCTCACAGAAACAACTAAAAACCAGATAACCAAACAAGAAAGCACATAAAACAAGTGAGATATTCAATTCAACTAGTCCAAGTCCAAAACAAAACAGTTCAAGAGCAAGCAACTAGTCAGTTAGCAGGTCCGATTAGTAACACACAACTACCGATCACACTAAATCAACTCCACCATCGATCATCCAAAATCCACAAACAAAAAACAAAGTGATCCAGAAAAAAAAACAACAAACACAACACAGATCGGTAAACACAAATCACAGATCTCACAGAGCAATAAACAAACAACCAAAAAGAAAAAGGCAAAAAGGTAGATAAGAAGAGATGAGGAGATTGATTACTTTTCTTGCTCGAGTAGAGCAGCAGCAGATGCAGAGGAGGGAGAGCGGAGACCAGGAAGGTGAGGAGAGTGAGGAGCCGAGGGAGAGGGAGAGAACGCCATGTACATCCCTCCAGCAGACGACGTCATTTCTCTCCCCTCAGAGACGAACATGGATATGGAGACGGCCAGGTTTTCGATTCGGCGGCGGCGGTGGCGGTGCGGTGGCGGTGGCTGAGGCACCAGACGCTGTAATCAAATCTGGCGTCGGTGGAAAAATTATGCACACTACACCTGTTGCCCTTCTTCTCTATCTATAAGTATTTAATTTTAAAAATATTTATATTAATATATAAATTTTTTGTGTTACACATATACACCGGAATATTTCCTGTAAGTTCGTGATTTTTTTTTCATTATTTATATTCACATTTTTCAAGTTAATAGTTCTGACACCGCATTCAGTGACCAAAGAGACGAGGGGACTGCGGAGGAGGGACCCATACATTTTTTTATATATTTTTTTATTAATAATTCAATGACAATAAATTAATTAATTCTTTTTAATTAATTAATAATAACACGTTTCGCTTTTGCAATGTAAAAGAAGGTGTGGGAGTGGGATGGGGAGATGTTCAACTATATTTTTTTCACAAGCTTCTTTCTTCCCTGTGAGAAAAAAAAAAAAGAGATTAAATGAGTAAAATATGTATCATCCATTATGTAATTTTTTCCTTATTATTTCTCAACACAAAGATTAAAAAAAAATGAAGGGTGTTTAATATAGTTTCATATTAAAAAAAAAAGTCATGTTTTAATAATTTTCTACTAAAATAGCAAAAAATTAGTTCACCAGATTTTAGAATCTTTCGGCTAAATGACAATTTATAAGTATTTGAGCTTTAACTTATTTATTATATGAATAATAGACCGCTTCTCTTCCCAGCCAACCACAATCAACAAGTCATTTTGATTTACAAGATAAAAAAAAAATTTGTTTTCAAAAGTGGCCTTTTATAAGTTTGAAAAATGTTTTTTAATTAAAAAATAAAAGAAAACATACCTGTTTTTTAAAAACATAGAGGAGAAAACCAATTTGATTATCAAATAACCTTAAATTTTTAAAAATTTGAATACGGAGGCATAATTGTAGACTTTATTTACACTCGGTTGCAAGCTGATTCGACAGGTTAAAATATATTTGATCCATATACTTTCGAAATATTCGTTTTGGTCCCTATACTTTTAATTTTAGTTCATTTTAGTTATTGTACTTTCGAAATGTTCATTTTGGTTTTTGTACTGTGACCATTTTGGCCCTTAATTTTATTCTTAATCTAATTTTTTTCTATCACAATTTCAACCCGACGTTAAAATCAATATATTTCTTAAAATGTAAACATTATTTTATACTAAAAAGTTTCCATTGTGTGTAAAATTTGTATTAACATTTTGCAATAAGGGATTAAAATGATCACTTTTTTAAAAAATACAAGGACCAAAATGAACATTTTCAAAATACATGAACTAAAATGAGCTAAAATTTATAGTACAGGGACCAAAACGAACCTTTCAAAATACGGAGACTAAAATGACCCGAAACTGAAAATACAGGGACCAAAATCGTATTTTAACCTTTCTAAAATTAAATACTTCAAGCACTACTTTTAAAAATTATCTCAAACTATGATAGTAATAAATAATAACAACTATAATCGGTTAATCAAACATAAGATACATGAAATGAGCAAGGTATTAAATAACCAAGTCTAAAGAAAATAGTTAGTAATTAGTGGATTAGATTACTAAATCGACTACCACTACTTTATTTTCTTAATTAATCTTCTACACACTTTTTCGTACTATTTTATTTTTTATTTATGCATTTTGTTCTTCAACATCTTTCCATGCATCTTTTATATTTCGTAAGGGTGTGTTTTGTATACTTTTGTTTATGACAAACAAAAAAAAGTACATATTTTTATTTGTATTGTTTTGTTAAAATTTTAGAGAAGGAAAAATGTGTTTAGACTCATTAAACTGTTTTTTTTACAATAATAAACAATTATTAGAGAAATTTTAAAAACAAATAAAAAGTATTTAAAAGAAATGATTCAATTAATAAGCGTTTTACAATCGAACTCACAGCTTTTTGATTGGAGGTATGTGTCAATTACCGCTGAACTATACTCACTTTGGTGAACATTTCACTCTTTAATGTACATTGAGTGCCTCAAACACTCATTTTTATTGTCTCATTTCTTAATTTGTTACGACACATGCTTTATTTCTTTCATTACTCCCCACATTTTTTCTTATTAAACTTGTTTGGTTAGATTTTCCGCCATTAATTACTCTCTACACACATCTTTTCTCACTTTCACACGCATCTTCATCTCAAAATCCCATCTAAACTGATAATATTGTTTGTGACTAATTAGGTATTACAGTTAAGAGAACTTGAGTACATTTTACAAAGAAAGACCTACATAAGAGAAGCAAACACTCTGACACAAGTTAGTTTAAGCTCAACTTTAATATAAAGTTCGAGATAGAATGCGATATCTGATACGGAAGTGAGATCCTCTATTTATAAGTTTGGGATCCAACAAGTCATCCGACAAATGATTATTTGTGTCGTTTCGCAGGTTGGATTTATCGGGTGTCTATAGTCGAACCTAGGTCATACCTTCATTGTAGGAGAGAATTGTTGCAGCGTTTGCGGCTAAGTATGGAAGGTCAATCCTGTCTGAGGTGGCCTTTAGATAAGATCTTAACCTTGTGATCATCCTCCGTTCTCCACATGGCAAGACTATTTTCCTACCTCTAACAAATATCATTTCAATGTTCTGCCAATCGATATTAATGACCAATATTAAATATAAATACAATAAAAGTTATTAAATGAATATTTTTTTTAAAACTCAAGACTAATGTTGTATTTGGTGCCTCGGATTTTGAAGGAATTCAAAATCATGATAGATTTCAAATGAATTCCATTGTTTGATAGCACATGATTTTGAATAATTTGAAATCTTATTGGTTTCAAATCCTATTTTTACTTAAAAAAATTTCCAGATCAAAATGGTCGGATTTTACAAGGTTTGATAGACTTTCGAAGTAAATTACTTATTTAAACTCGTCATATTATAATTTTTAATTAATAAATTTAGAATAAAAGCCTAAATCAGTAAAATTTCTATTTTCTTTTCATTTCCAGTGAACATCCAAACAAATAAATCTAATTTAATTCGTTTCAAATCATTCTCGTACCAAACAAGATAAAGAATTTAAAATCATTTCTCGAATTTCAAATCACGGAATTTAAAATTATTTGATCAACTTTCTGGACGCCAAACAAAGGATAAGCGGATTTTTTAATTAGAGTATTACACATAGAATAAGAAGGGAGGATTTAAACCTACTCACAAAAGAGTACGAGACGCCTAACTAATGTAACCTTCAATTTATTGGAAAATTTTAGTGGGTTGTATTTTTTAAAAATAGATGTGCAAGTATATGTCTTTTAGTAATTGGAGATATATCATTAAAAAAATAATTGAAAATACATAAAAAATTCGAAACTAGTAAATCATTCAAGGTTAAATTTAACAAAATACCCAAAGGGTATGTTTTATTCTAAGCTTTTCAAATTTTCATTTTTAGACTTAACCTTTAAATTTTATTTAAAAATTATCATTTCATCAACTTTTCCACTGAAATGAAGATAGATGGGCGATGACTTGTAAATAGTGGTACATGTGGTATAAATAAAATCGAGAATTTTCAGCATGTATATATCTCATTATTTTGAAAATTATCGCCACGTTGTTTTTTCGTAGTCATTTTAAAAGAAAATTTTAACGGAGGGATCATTTTGAAACAAGTTTAAAGTTTAAGAGTAATATTGAAAACTTTAAAGTGTTCAGAGATATTATTGAAACCTACTCGATGGAGTAGGTGGATATATTTTGTATAATTTATCCTTTGAAGAACAATAATTAATGGTTAACCAATATACTATAAATTAGAATCATATTATATCATTAATTAACCTACATATTATTGATTAACTATAATTTTAGTTTTCATTTATTACAACACGTGGGGTGGGGATCGAACTAACTACCTCTTGGAGATATATGTCAATTATCGTTAATTTTTCCATATTCATCTTTTCTAAAATTGTAATTTCCAAAGTTTCTTTCTCTTCTTCTTCCCTTATGACTTTTTTTTTTTGTCGTTTTAAAGGATTCCGCGAGGTTTATCATGGAACTCATTTATCGTTTCATAAATATTCATTTTCCACGAATTTAAACATAAAGCTTAACTAGTTAAAGCATATATTCTAATAAAAAAAAAGCTTGTAAGTTCAAATCCCTACTCGATGTATTGTTGTACTCAAACAAAAAAAATATATGAATTTTATCGAAAGGTAATATTTTATTAAAATTGAACTTATTAAGTCGTCAGGGTTTAGGGTTTTGTAATTTAAGATATAAATTAAGTACCAAATATAAGCTCAACTTTTCAACTTTAGAAAGGTAAATATATTCTCTAGAGTAAAATTTTATTTATCATCTAATTTCATTTCATGGATAAATAATCTCAATTAGTAGACCAATTAAATTCTAAGAGCTTCTCTAGAAGTTGTATTGTCCATAAAAATAATTAATTGACATTCTTTAATTTATAAAATAATAAAAGATAGGTGGTTCACAAGAACCATAACTGGTATATCCTTACTTAAAAATCGTGGGTTTGATCAATCTCCACTTCCATGGATTATAGTCAAGGTTTTAAATGTTGATGTTTTATGTAAATGTCGATAGAAATATCGATAAATGTTGATGTCGGTGGTATTTCTATAAATGTCATAAAAATAAAAAAATCGTAAAAAATATTTAAATTAACAAATAAACCTCTCACTCTTTATATTATGTCTAAAATAGAAATATTTTGTTGATATTTTTGTTGGATTTTATCTATTTTTTTTAGAATACCATGAAAATGTCGATTTACCATTCATGTTAATGTCGAACCTGTTGATACATGAAATATAGATGGAAATATCGACATGTCGACAAATATTTAATATCTTGGTTAAAGCAACGCTAAATGATAAGTTTACATTTCAAAGCGAGCATAAGTCAGCGGTAATTGACATATATCTCCAACCAAGAGATTGTAAGTTCGATCCCCATCTCAAAATATTGTACTAAAAAAAATGATAAATTTACGTAGCACGATACTTAGTAAAATTGACAGAAATTAAAAAAATAAGAATAATTAAATCATCTCAA